TTCAAAGAAAGAATTAGAAATGCTTTTACTGACAGGAAAGGGAAGCTTTTTCTGTTTAGCATAATGACATGTATCACAAGGTTGTGAAAAAGACAAAGACATTTCATCATATTTGGAACATAAGAGTTGCAACACTTTATTTGAAGTATGGCCAAGTCTATTGTGCCATATTATGGAACTATCAGTAGTGTTTACAACAGAATTATTAGAAGAAACTCTATCTAAAACAGTGAAACTTTTAGAAGAGCAATTGATCTTGTCCAGGGTACTGAAATCCTTCAAGTAGAAGAGTCCATTGTACATTTCAGCTACTCCAATCTTCTTGAAATTGGAGTTCTGCACAATGAGACACAAATTAGAAGAAAAGAGGAGAAAGCAAGACATGGTTTTAAGCAACTTAGAGATGGAAATAAGATGCACAGAAAAAGAAGGAATGTAAAGAACATCCTTAAGAAGCAGGTTTCCCAGTTGAATATCACCAGAAAAAGAAGCCAGAATGGAATAATTATTGTTTGGTAACTTGACATGAATGGATTTGATTTTCTTAAGAGATAGAAAAAAAGATTTGTTAGGACATATGTGGTCTGTGGCACCACTGTCAAGAATCCAGGTAGAAGAAGAAATGAAACTACCTGAATTTTCACTTTTGAACTGTTGAATGTGATTGACAGAAGAATGAGAAGCATTGTCTTTAGTTTGTTGCAATAAGGCTATGACAGCATTGTACTGATCTTTAGAAAGCACAAACTGATCATTGTTGACACCTGCAGCCAAGGATTCATGTTGTGAGGTAGCATCGAGATCAACCTCAGCCAAACTTGCAGAAGGTTGAAAAACTGATGAATTACTTCTGCTTCGAGTTTTGTATCCAGCTGGAAATCCATGTTTATGATAGCAAGTCTCAATGGTATGGTTAGTCTTCCCACAATGAGTGCACAACTTGTGTCCTTTACCAAAGGATTTATTAAGGGCTGTATGATTCTTATAAGTATTCTTGGAAATGAAGGACTGATTTGAAATTTCCTTTGAATTAGTGAATGCAACAGTGTCTGTTGGCAGAGATAGAATAGAATCACCAGAAAACTCTCTTTCATGTTGGAGAACAAGATTAAAAATCTTCACAATTGATGGCATTGGATCTAATATCATGAGCTGCGAACGGACTTGTGCATACATATCATTCAGTCCTCTTAAAAATCTTATTATGCAGTCATCTTCTCGTTCCTTTTTCAGTTTCTTGATAAGATCACAGGTGCAAGGTGTATCACAGGTACAGATAAGAGCACATCGATACAATTCAAGCTCCTTCCAAAGAATATTTAACCGAGTATAATACTCTGAAACGGTAGATGTACCTTGTTTACAGTTTTGAATTTGATCTTGCAGATCAGCAATACGGAATTTGTTTGATTGTGAAAAGCGTTCCTGAATATCCTTCCAGATTTCTGATGCAGTGTCCATCCACATCACAGATTGCTTGATTGAAGGATTCATCGAACGAATAAGCCAGGACATAACCATACGATTGCAACGTTTCCATGCTTCTGACAGCGGATCTGAGTTTGGCGCACAAGGTAGGGTTCCAAGAACAAATTTCTCCTTATTCTTAGATTCAAGTGCGACAATGATATCTCGCTTCCATTGGTGATAATTGCTTTCCGTCAATAGTGGAGAAACAAGCACAGTTGTAGGATTTTCTCTAGGATGAAGAAAATATGGATTAGCTGGATTGATAATATGATCAGCAGGTTGCGTCATGATTGAAGATTTGCGGAAGAAATGATGAATAATCGCTCTGATACCATGAACGATTTAGTGAAAAAGAAAGAAGTTCGTATTATTCATCATTAAGCTAAAATCAGTACAGAGGAAGCTATATATACAAGAGGAACTATTGATAGCAATGCTAACCGACTAAGAACTGAAAATAACAACTAACTGAAAGAGAAAAAATATCCGGTCAACAAAGCTTTATCCAGTCAACTATTCCTAATAGGTTTCCTACTCTGTGATCACAAGGGAGATTTTATTTCTACTGCTTTCATGATGTTATGCTAGGGAAAGAGAGGAAGGTTTTAATGATCTCAGGCAAAGAGCCTTAATGATGTTCTGTATGCGTGGTCGTTGCTCTAAAGGTGTTCTTATCCTTAAGAGCTTATGCAAAACAGTCTTGAGACTAAACTCTATTTTCCAAAGTTGAATCCTTTACCATTTTAGATGAAAGCTTGCAAATCTGTCTGAAATAAATCCTGGGATAAAGAAACATTATGCTCAAATTTGTCAGAATCTATGGGCTTAATCTCAACTTCAACCGCCTACGAATGTAAAGGCTCCCTCTTTTAAAGATAAATGTCCGAAAAGTTCTGAAAAGCCCACAAGATCTAGTATCATAAGGAATCAAGTTAATAAAACACAATAAGAGGTGATAATAAAACATGATCCAAAAATGTGATATGAAGTAGCTTTCCCACTTTGTATAAAAATAACCTTCAAAACTTTAATCTTCATAAAAAATGACTTTTTTATCCCAGTGGCCGAACCACCCATTAGTGGGTGAGCGTTGGGGAACACTCACCAAAATATTACGAGTATTAAAATAAATGAGTAGAGGACAAAGTAGGAGGGGGACTACAAAGTTAACGAAAAAGAAACGCAATTACGGGATTAAATAAGCACAACCTATAGAGTCCAAATAAATCGCTCCTCTAACCATTCTTGGAACCTCCCGGAGGGTTGTGAAATTGTTGCATGCATGTATATCATTGATAAAATGTAAGCATGTCTTTCAGAATGGGATTCTACTTCCAATTTTGTAATTCTTATTCTCATACTCCAAGGAAGTAACTTGTAAAGGGATTTGAGCTCCGCTTCAAACTCGGAATCTGCGTTTAGACCAAAGGACGTAGCTGCTATGAAAGATCCCGCGTGATTCCTTAGAATATATACCGCAGAGAATCCTCGTTTATATTTTACCACCGCAATATTCATCTTTAGAAAGCCTTTCGCCAGTTTCTGCCATGTAACAGATTTGATTTGCTTTTTGATGCAACTTTGGAAGGGAACAAGTGAGCTGCCACAATTAAACTACGATGTCTAAATTCCTTAATAAGCTGATTGAAGACTGTTAAATGTCCTATACCGGAAAATTGAGAAGCATTAGAATGCTATATTAAGCTTCGGACTACTCCTCCTAACAGGTTGACCTTTTAGGATGCAACCCTGAATCTTAACAAAGACCCATACACCAGTAAAGCATGTATATTTCGATATGAAAGACAAGAGATATAGAAGGAGACTTATCCCAAACTGTCCAACAATATTCTTTCCACAGATGCCAAGAGTTCGAGTGCAAGTCTCTGATATGCAGCCTGCTACCAAAAAATTGCCAAACGTGGAAGGCAAAAGAACATTAAAACTATGGATGTACTTTATACTTGAAAAAATATAAGACCTGCACACACATGTGATTTGATGACCAAAAAGTGGTCATATTCATGGATTTTGATATATTTTGTTCTCCAAATTATTCAAAATAGAGATCAAACTTCACGAACTTTTATGATCTTTTTTCATGTGATATATAAAATGATTTTTATTTTGAAGTTTTAACTATTGAAGTTTTGTTGAACCAGAAAAGCACGAAACACAATTTTTTAATTCATGGAGCCTCCACAAATAACTGAATATTCTATAATCGAATTTTACTTGAACTAAGTCCATCTTTTGTTAACCGAAAAAGTAAAAAAAAAATTAATGAAATTTAATTATTTATACATCAAAATGTGTATTTTTTTCACAATTATTCAGTGAAAAAACTAAAAGGAAAACATTGCTTATAATAATTTAATTAATATTTTACTAAATTGATATATAAAAAATATGTTGATGTAATTTTTTGACAGTGTGGAAGTGCATGGAAGTAGGGGTCTAAACATTGTTTTTATACTAACAGAGTTCATTTTTGACATCTTGGCCTCCTCAGTTCTCACCATTACAAATGGTCTAATGTGTTCATATTGTTGGAATCTAAAAGTCGTAGGTAATAAACGGACCATTCTTTCAATAAATAACACATAACATAAAAAATAAAGAGGCACATTAATTTAAATAACATATCTTATGTGCGATACACATTGAATTTATTAAGAATGACATCCAATTACATCATCGAATTTCCCCACAAACGCTATACTATACCGTGAATGAAATGAAACTTTATCACTTGAAAGAAATGGTCATGTATATATTGAAAATCATGTCACATTCATACTGTGAATTTGCCATGGATAATTCTCTGGCAATCATTTATTGTACATCTTTGTCAAGGAAACTATTGGGGATCACATTTATTTAAAACAACCTCAAATACTCCTTTAAAATGATTTTCACTTATTCTATTAGACAAAAAACACTTATTTTTTATCAAACACTACCAACTTTTACTTTTTCAGAATCATTTTTTCTCAAACACTATTAAGTACTTTCTCCAAAATCACTTTAAAAAATTACTTTTTTAAAATTGAAGCAATCGCAAACACTTTCTATATTAAAAAAATTACTTTTTTAAAATCATATCCAAATCCCCATATATCCACTGATCCATGTCCGAAGAAAACCCCTATATTTACACATATCCCTTAGGGCATCCTCATTGTTAGGATTATTGAGGGATCAAATTAGTGATGTGGCAGATTTTTTAGAGAAGTATCATTGGGAGACATTGATTATTTAATGAGATTATTTGCTAGAATAATCCGGGATCAAAATATGAATCCAGATTATCTTAAGATTATTTGAAAAGTATGTGTAATACGTTAATGTCGGACGGAGAAAAAAGCGGATTATTTGAAGATGATGGTTGGGAGGCATAAATGGATTTTGAGATTATTTAAAAATTAATTATGTAAGAATATTTAAAAGGCAAGAATGCTAGAAAATATGATTTTTACGGGATTAGGAATGGTGATGCTGTTAGAGATAATTTGTTTATTTACCCCTATATTTAAAATCATATGAAACCGTTCCATCTATTTTGTTTAGAAACTCAACCGGTGTCCATGTCCGAAGAAAACTCCTATATTTACACATATCCCTAATTTGGCCGGTTGTAGTTTAATCGAATTTGGCGCGGATGTGAAACCAAGTAAAAGGACGGCCATGGATATGCACGCTTACACAGTACAGACAGAGATATAGCAAAACGAAGTCATACTTCTACTGCGACTACTCTTCACAGTTCACACACGAACACAAGAGAAAGTGGGAGGAAGCTAGTTTAAATAAGTATCCAAATAGCTTATTTAATCAGCTAGCTAGCAAGCAAATTACAGAAACTGGAAGAAGCTAGCTTAATTAGTTGAGAATGGGGGGTAGATTAGTATTGTTAGGGTCGTCCACTGAAGCCGCGGCAATAGCACTGGGGATGAGCTGCTTGCTGGTGGTGGCGATGAGTGGGGCTGCTGCCAGTAAATGCTTTGATGCGGAGAGGGAAGTGCTCCTCAAGTTCAAGAACAGCGTTCTTGACGAGGAGGGCAATCTCAGCTCCTGGGGAAACAGCAGTGATGAAGATTGCTGCCGCGACTGGTACGGGGTTGGGTGCGATGACGCTACTGGCCATGTCATCGACATCGATCTTTCTAATATGTATCTGTCCGCCAAAGATGGTGGGAAGTATGGCACCAGCCTTCCATTCTTTGAGCTCCGCTATTTGAAGTATTTGGATCTTAACGATAATCGCCACTTGCTGGCAAACCAGAGCATCTCATCATTGATTGGGAACAACTATAACGGTAGTAGTATGGTTTCCCTTGAGCAGCTGGGTCTTCGTGGCACCGGAATTGTTGGCAGCATTCCTGAGAATTTCGGAAACATCATGCCCGCCCTTACTGACCTTGATCTCTGCGATAATGGTTTACAAGGTTTCATTCCTGAAAGTCTTGCAAACGGCATGCCCGCCCTTACTTTCCTTTCTCTGTGTGCGAATAATTTAGAAGGCAACATTCCTGAAAATTTTGGAAACGGCATGCCTGCCCTTACATTCCTTGATCTCGGCTTTAATGAATTACATGGCTCCATTCCTGAAAACTTTGGAAAGAACCTGCGTGCCCTCACACATCTCGACCTGGGAGAAAATCAGTTGGAAGGTCATATTCCTGAAGCTATAGGAAATATGTCTGTCCTTGAATACCTTGATCTTCGCGGGAATAGACTTGAAGGAGAAATCCCCAAATCCTTGTGGAACATATGCAGTTTGCGATCCCTGGCGTTGAATTCCAACCGTCTTAATGGAAGCCTATTCATAACCACAATATGCCCATATCACCCTCTGGGGGGCTTATCCTTACACGGCAACCCATTCACAGGGCTCTTTCCCAATATTACGACTTTCCCCTCTTTGGGCTCGTTATTTTTTTCGAATACCCTCATAGATGGGGTCATTTCTGAACATCACTTTGCTAATCTGTCTAACCTATCATACCTGGACCTATCTTCAAACACTTTCACTTTTAACGTCTCCTCTACTTGGCTTCCTCTCAACTTGGAACAGATACACCTTAGCTCTTGCAGGTTGGGACCCGAGTTTCCGACTTGGCTTAGAACTCAAACCAATTGTAAGGTGCTTGACATTTCCAATAACGCCATCTCAGATTCAATCCCCACCTGGTTTTGGAATACATTTACTCACTTTATGAATATTAATGTTTCTAACAATCGAATCAAGGGAATAATTGGAATTGGTGCTCAAGCTTCACTCCTAGGTGGTAGGATAGATATGCATTCCAATCAATTAGAAGGTGTCATTCCACCCACTTTCTTCAATGTGGGAGCACTGCACCTTTCTGGGAATAAGTTCACTGATCTCAACTACCTATGTGACCTCAAGGTATTTTCTCCTTTGCGGCTTCTGGATATCTCATTCAATAACCTTTCCGGAACACTTCCAAATTGCTGGTCAAGATTCCCTCGCCTGCAAGTTCTGAACCTGGGAAAAAATCACAATCTGTCAGGGACTCTTCCAACTTCCATTGGATCATTGACTTCCCTGGAGGCATTGCATCTTGACCATAACAAATTTACAGGCGCTCTACCTTCATCCATGAAAAACTGCTCCCGCTTGATATCTTTGCATCTGGGACACAACAACTTGTTTGGACCAATACCAGATTGGGTGGGTGAAAGTATAACACAACTTTCGATACTTGTGCTAAGATCCAACAACTTCAATGCAAGTGTACCCACCACTCGGTGTCGTCTCCAATCTCTTCAGCTGTTAGACTTGTCCCTGAACCACCTCTCAGGGACTATTCCCAAGTGTCTGTCTAATCTCACTCAAATGATGAATGTAACAAAAGGCATTCCCACCATTTCTTATGAGTTATCATTCACTCTCACCATTTTCAATCAAACATGGTACAAAGACACTATAGAAGATGACAAAATAGAGATTACATGGAAAGGTGCTGTCTTTGAATTTGGAAGTAGATTAAGAGACGTAAAGAGCATTGATCTATCATCCAACATGTTGAGTGGTGAAATTCCAACTGAAATCACATTACTTGTTGCGTTGGTTTCTTTGAACTTGTCACATAACAATCTAAGGGGACAGATTCCTCCCAGGATTGGTAACTTGTCACAATTGGAATTTCTTGATTTGTCTAGTAACCATTTGTCTGGTAGCATTCCTCAAAGCCTTGCCCTGATTCACGGCATAGGGGTTCTCAATTTGTCTGACAATTACTTATCTTGAAGAATTCCCAAAGGCACACAACTTCAGAGCTTTGATGCAGCATACATGGGGAATCCCGCACTATGTGGAGATCCACTCCCTAACAGCTGTTCAGGAGAAGAATCAACTCATAATTCTCATCAATTCAGTGAAGAAGGGGCTTTTAATAGAGAAGAAGAGGATAAGCTTATTGGCGGTGATTTTTATGCAAGCATAGGGGTCGGCTATGCGGTTGGATTCTTGGGAGTTCTTGGGACAATGCTATTCAACAAGTCCTGTAGGTTTGCATTTTTCAAAGTCCTTGAAAACTTTACTATATGGACTTATGTTGTGGTTGCAGTGCACAAGGCTAGGTTCCTGAGATCACTTGGTGGTTAAGAGGCCATTGTAAATACCCTCCCTCCATATTTAAAAGCTGATAAGGGTATCATTTCATATTATTTCAATATTTATGGTTTGTTTATTGAAATTTGTACTGCATTTTCTTTTTTAATGCGCTCTCTATGCCAGTTTTCCTAAGCTTTGTGTATTTTAATAACCTGATGGGAATGTTTCGGCTTGGATACTGGTCGCTGTTAGCTTTGTAGTATTGAAGTATACCTTTTGCGGCAGTGAGATTTATCTTTTATGATTAAAACCTTTTTGTTTCGGATCTGTTTATTTGACAAGCTATACTTGAGAAGGTTGTTAATGTTTAAAACTATTAAGATGACTTTTCCTCTTAACTCTGAAACCCCAAACAAGTTAATGCAGAGCTTAATGGTCACTGTTGAAAGTGTGTTTTGGAGCGCTAAGTCAATTGAAATTTAGAAACATTCTATTTGGATGGATATAAATAAGTCTCTTTGCTAACTCTTTTTATTCTAGTATATTTATTCTGTATTTTTTTATATCATGTATTACAACGCAAAACAGTCATGATATGTATCTTCCAAAAGAAAAAGATAGTGTTACTTGTTACCGATGACAGTGCAGTTCTTTAGTTTTCTTTTCTTTTTTTGAGGATGGTGTCTGTTTGATATTATGGGAGGTTGTTTTGCTGGCAGTACTTAATATTAGTAGAAATTAAGAGATTGAACTTTTTGGTCACATGATAGAATCCTAGACTGTGATGTTAGATTAAGAATTTTTCTTCCAAATTGGACCATTCTTTTCTTTTCTTATCTTGGTGTTCTCCAGTTTGTGCACTTATTTCTGATAATGTTTTCCATTTCCTTCAATTTTTCAGGTTTACAAATTAAGATAGTTACCGGTTGTGGAAGAGTTTGGAATTACACGGGCCAAAGAAATTGGAGTAGTAAGACAGCTCATGATGCAGCAAGTTTGATTGAGGAGGTGGATCTCATATAATCATATATATAGATAAAATAAAGTTTAATTTTCATTTCCATTTTCTTATCTAGGTGTATTAAAGACATAATCTCCACGAGTCTTATTGGCTGCTTATGGTAATCTTAATCTGTTAAATTAAGAATAGTGGAATAGTATATACTCCTTAAATATTCTGATTACTTTACTTTGTGAAGTACTAATGTGTAAAGCTTTTAAGCTTCGATAGAAGAGTAGTCATTTAAATGATTCTGCTAGGGCCTCAACATGTCTATTACAGCAACGTCTCCATTTCCTACAAGCCATATTTTAAATGGAGAAATATACAAAATGTAATCATAAAATACAATATACTGAAGAGAATTAAACAAAAACAGAAAATGTGGAATAAATTGCATCACGTTAAATAACACATTGAAGAGTAGAAAGCTTAAACTTCAACATTACATAATAATTACATAATAAAACTAAATTCTTATCATTGACTGAAAAGCAGTCATGGCTTCATGGGCCATAGATAGAAGCTCTGGGAGCTTCAGTCCAAAATAAGTTAATCTTGAATGTACTTTAAGATAGCACTTTGTTGTTGCCTTAACCAAATCTGCTTCCTTGGCGAAAACCTTGATAAGTCTGCATTCATGATTTCAAAATCTGTCCTCATGATTAGTGACTTAAATAATTCTTTCCAAGCGCATCCCATTTCATTTTAAACTTCTTTATCTCGTCATCTTGTTTGAATCTTTTACCGAATAGTTTTGTTCCATCTATCCACTTGTTTCTTTACATTTTTTCTTCGCAATTTTGTTTTCACAAACATCAGATTGTCCGATTCCCACACTTTGACTTTCACTATCATATTCGTCAAATGTGTTTGGACTTTGGAGTGTGCAGATCATGAGTGGAGCGTGAAATCTGTGGATCAAAGCTTCATATTAATTATACGGAGTATGTGCTACTTCTCATGTGTTTGAATACATATACTCCATATATTCAAGCATGACTAAACTCTAAACTTGATGTCTGTGAATACTACTAGTCTACTACGTATTTACATAACAATATCTTATCTTATCTTATACGGAGTAGGATATATACTGCCCCCTCCGTCCCTAAAAGAACTTTCATTTCGCTTTTCGAGAGTCAACTTAAATCACTCTTAAACTCTTACTTTACATATCAAAACTTTATGAAAATTGAATTTTTTTGCAGGCTTTGTAGTAGGTTTAATGTAGTTTCTGAATATGTAAATTTTATTTACTAAAAATAATACTCCCTCCGTCCCAAAAACAACTTCCCACTTTCCTTAAATGGATGTCCCAAAATTAACTTCCCACTTCAATATTTTCCTTATTTGGCAAATTATCTACATCAAAAAAGTGATAAACAGTGTCAAACAGTGTTTAAACAGTGCCAAACAGTGTTTAAACATTGCCAAACAGTGCACTCTACAGTAAAGTCAAATTTATTTCCTAAATATGTGTGTAGGTCAAAGTGTCAAACCGGGAAGTTGTTTTCGGGACGGAGGGAGTATGAGTTTTCACAGTGATCTTTTAACTTTATCGTTGGTCAAATTTCGTAACCCGCAATTGGAACAACATTTAGAGACGGAGGGAGTAATAAAGTGCAACAATTAGAATTAGGGGTAAAAACTTTGTATTTGCACCAATCCAATATGAATAGACAAAAGTGCCACTCGATCAGGAATGTAATGAAGGATAATAGAATTGTTAATGGAGAGACATTTTTGTTTTTTCATTCGGGATTGAGGTGCAAATACAATGTTTTTTTAAAAACGGTGTGCAAAATCTAATTTGGACAATAAAATGGAGTGCAAACTAAAATTACCCCTTGGAACTATCTATATATAAAAGTATAATAAAATTACAAATTCAAATGAATATATACAGAGTACAATACATTAAAGGTTATTAGTAAAACGTAACATACAAATGCCACGAAGGTAACTATTTATAGTGAGAATTCTTACTAGTTGGTGAGTAAGTAAAATGACAATTCTTATAAGAACGAGTTATCCACGTGTGAGGCTGATTGATGAGAGAAATGTTGATTGATTGATTGTACGTTGTATGGTTAATTATTCTTTGATAACACGTCTGGATAAGTCACACGTGTAAAGTGTGACACAAAATTTGTTAGTATCGACTACCGACTTGTTGCCTTCATTCCAAGAGTTAGTTATTCCTCGATGACGTTATCTTCAATATGTCTGGATTATTGGTGCTAAATGACCAAGTACAAATATATGTGTAGTGTGCCAAGTTGATGAAGCTCGGCTCTTAGCTCGACTTCGATGACTAGCTCAATTAGGCTGCAATTTTGGACTTCGTCAATTTGAGAACCAGGTTTAAACTCATCCTCAGCCCGAAGGGCAAGCTTAGCCTCAACTACAAATGTTGTCCTAGTCAATTCCAAAAGTTTATTTATTTCTTATTGTAACCCTTGGAACATATAAAAATATATTCCATCAAATCTTATATTGGACATAGTTTTAAAATTAATGCAAAGCCAGTTTTTTGACAACGTTAAGGTTAACATTGTAGTTCTAATATCAGCATGCTAATATAATGGGAGAATTCCAAAAATAGGTACCAAGACTGAATTAGAAAAACTAGTTACGGTCCAATCTCAAGAATCAACCAGTTTCTTCGTCTTGTTGTTTCTTCTTTCATCATGACAAAAGTTTTTTCCCTATTTCATTTAACCTATTTAGAGAGTTTGTGGCTAGCAAGGCTTGCTCCACACAATTTTGCTAAAATTTAGACGTACACTTACGTGGTCTTGGCAGCTTGGCCACTCAAGCCCTCCCAAACCACTGTCAAATTTTGAGAGAACTTTGATGTTCGGATGCATTTCTTTTCGATGGTTAGTCAAATCGACTATCGATTATTTTGGAGAATTTCTTTCCACTAATAACTGTAAAAAAAGTCATGGGTCGATACAAAGATTACTTTGAACTTGTGATCGACAAAGAGGAGTGATTTTTCCTATAGACAACAACCATGGGTTGTTTTACTTTTGTTTTTGTTGAGGTTAAGTCCCGCAGATCCGAAAGTCCAACACACGTTTAGGATATTAAGGACGTAGGACTGGGTTAGGAGGTGTAGGAAAATATAAAATTCAGAGAAGATGTGAACTCAGAAGCTAATCTTGCCTTAAGTGATTCTTGATTACACTAGAACTAGCCAAACGGCACGTCAGAATAGTGTCTAATACAAGAACTAGAAGAATAATTTATATCTAAGCTTTGAGTATCAAAATGCTAACCCTTCACAATGCAATGCGAGTGTTTATACTAAAGAAGGGGTAGGTGAGATGATGATGTGGTCGAACCCCGTTGGTTGCTGCTTTTGCCACTTGCGCTCTCATGCCTCCACTTGCTACTGCCATACTCTAGCATTTAATTTTCACCATTTTGGTTTTAGTCCTTGTCAAATTCCAAAATCACTGTACTTAGGAAAACAATTATTGCGAGTTGCACAGATGAGACGACAGTTGGGATTATTATAACCTGGTATATCTTTTTAATAGGCTGAACAAGTAAAATGGCATATGAGACCATTATTGGCGGAAGATCTTTAAAGTTGAGATTACTCTGAAGTCTGAACTAATCGACAATTGGAATTATTATTAGCGGACTGACAATAATTGGAATTATTATTATCAAAATAATTAGACATGCTCCTCCGTACTGACACAAACCTCCTCCGCCCAGGGACATAGTACATACAGATGAGACCCACATACACATTACACACATGAGATTTGATGACCAAAGACTGGTCATACTTCAACGGCGACCACTTTTCACACACGAACACACTCTTATCGTTTAAATAAGTATCTAAATAGCTTATATAATCAGCTAGCAAATTACAGAAACTGGAAGAATCAAAGCTTAGTTGAGAATGGGAATGGGTAGATTATTATTATTGTTACGGTCGTCGTCCTCTGAAGCCGCGGTAATGGCAGTGGGGGTGATCAGTTGCTACTTGCTGCTGCTGGAGATGACTGTGGCTGCTGCTCCCAGTAAATGCGTGGATGCAGAGAGGGAAGTGCTGCTCAAGTTCAAGCATAACATTCTTGACCCGTATGACAATCTCCGCTCATGGGGCAAGGACAGTGATGAAGATTGCTGCCGCGGCTGGGAGGGGGTAGAGTGTGATAACGCTACTGCTCATGTCATCCACATCGATCTTTCTGATATGTCTCTGTCCGCGAAAGATGGTGGGAAGTATAGCACCAGCCTTCCATTCTTTGAGCTGCCCTATTTGAAGTCTTTGCATCTTGGCTTTAACCCCTACTTGCTGGCAAACCAGAGCATCTCATCATTGATTGGGAACAACTATAACGGTAGTAACAGTATGATTTCCCTTCAGTATCTCGGTCTTCGTCGCACCGGAATTGGTGGCACCATTCCTGAGAATTTTGGAAACATAATGCCCGCCCTTACAGTCCTTGATCTCTGCTATAATGGTTTAGAAGGTTTCATTCCTGAAAGTCTTGGAAAAGGCATGCCTGCCCTTACATGGCTTGATCTCGGATCTAATGAGTTGCAAGGCAACATTCCTGAAAACTTTGGAAATAACCTGCTCGCCCTCACAAATCTCGACCTACGAGAGAATCAGTTGGAAGGCAACATTCCTGAAAACTTTGGAAATAACCTGCGCGCCCTCACATATCTCGACCTACGAGAGAATCAGTTGGAAGATCACATTCCTGAAGCTCTGGGAAATATGTCTGTCCTTGAATACCTTGAACTTGGCATGAATAGACTTGAAGGAGAAATCCCCAAATCCTTGTGGAACATATGCACTTTGCAAGACCTGAATTTGGATCCCAACCGTCTTAATGGAAGCCTAATCATAACCACAACATGCCCAAATCACCCTCTGCGATCCTTATACTTGAGCCACAACCGATTCACAGGGCTCTTTCCCAATCTTACAATTTTCTCCTCTTTGGAATTCTTATTTTTTTCAGATACCCTCATAGACGGGGTCATTTCTGAACATCACTTTGCTAATCTCTCTAAACTATCTTACCTGCACCTATCTTCAAACACGTTCACTTTTAACTTCTCCTCTACTTGGCTTCCTCCTTTCAACTTGGAACAGATACAACTTAGCTCTTGCAAGTTGGGACCTGAGTTTCCGACTTGGCTTAGAACTCAAACCAACTGCAAGATGCTTGACATTTCCAATAATGCCATCTCGGATTCAATCCCCACCTGGTTTTGGAATACAAGTACTAGCTTTATGAAAGTTAATGTTTCTAACAACGGAATCAAGGGAATAATTAAAATTGGTGCTCAAGCTTCATTCCCCGGTGCTTTGCTAGATATGCGTTCCAATCACTTAGAAGGTGTCATTCCACCCTCTTTCTTCAATGTGAGAGCACTGTACCTTTCTCATAATAACTTCACTGACCTCAACTCCCTATGTGACGTCAAGGTATTTTCTCCTTTGCGGCATTTGGATATCTCATCCAATCAACTTTGGGGAACACTTCCGAATTGCTGGACAAGATTCTCTCGGCTGCAAGTTCTGAACCTGGGAAAAAATAAAAATCTATCAGGGACTCTTCCAACTTCCATAGGGTCATTGGCTTCCCTGGAGGCATTGCATCTTGACCATAACAAATTTACAGGCACTCTACCTTCATCCATCAAAAACTGCTCCCGCTTGATATCCTTACATCTCGGACACAACTACTTGTTTGGACCAATACCAGATTGGGTGGGTGAAAGTGTAACACAACTTTCGATACTTGTGCTAAGATCCAACAACTTCAATGCAAGTGTACCCACCACTCTGTGTCGTCTCCAATCTCTTCAGCTGTTAGACTTGTCCCTGAACCACCTCTCACGGACTATTCCCAAGTGTCTGTCTAATCTCACTCAAATGATGAATGTAACAAAAGGCATTCCCACCATTTCTTATGAGTTGTCATTCACTCTCACCATTTTCAATCAAACATGGTCTGCATATGCTACAGAAGATGACAAAATAGAGGTTACATGGAAAGGTGTTGTCCATGAATTTGGAAATAGATTAAGAGATGTAAAGAGCATTGATCTATCATCCAACATGTTGAGTGGTGAAATTCCAACTGAAATCACATTACTTGTTGCGTTGGTTTCTTTGAACTTGTCACATAACAATCTAAGGGGACAGATTCCTCCCAGGATTGGTAACTTGTCACAATTAGAATTTCTTGATTTGTCTAGTAACCATTTGTCTGGTAGCATTCCTCAAAGCCTTGCCCTGATTCACGGCATAGGGGTTCTCAATTTGTCTAACAATTACTTATCTGGAAAAATTCCCAAAGGCACACAACTTCAGAGCTTTGATGCAGCATACGTGGGGAATCCCACACTATGTGGAGATCCACTCCCTAACAGCTGTTCAGGAGACGAATCAACTCATAATTCTCATCAATTCAGTGAAGAAGAAGAAGAAGAAGGGGCTTTTAATAGAGAAGAAGAGGATAAGCTTATTGGCGGTGATTTTTATGCAAGCATAGGGGTCGGCTATGCGGTTGGATTCTTGGGAGTTCTTGGGACAATGCTATTCAACAAGTCCTGTAGGTTTGCATTTTTCAAAGTCCTTGAAAACTTTGCTAATTGGACTTATGTTGTGGTTGCAATGCACAAGGCTAGGTTCCTGAGATCACTTAGTGGTTAACAGGATAGTGTAAAACTGTAAATACCCTCCCTCCATTTTGAGAAGCTTATAAGGTATCATTTCATGTTATTTCAATATTTATGGTTTGTTTTCCGAAATTTTTATTGCATCTTCTTTTTCTATGTGCTCTCTATGTCAGTTTTCCTAAGTTGTGTGTATTTTAATAACCTGATGGGAATGTTTCGGCTTGGATACTGGTCGCCGTTAGCTTAGTAGTATTAAAGTATATTTTTCGTGGCAGTAGATTTATCTTTTATGATTAAAAGCTTTTTGTTTCGCATCTATTTATTTAACAAGCTATACTTGAGAAGGTTGTTAATGTTTAAAAATTAAAACTATTAAGAAGCCTTTTTGCCTCTTAATCCTGAACCCCAAACACGGTAATGGTCACTGTTGAAAGTGAGTTTGGAGCACCAAGTCTATTGAAATTTTAGAAACATTCTATGTGGATGGATATATACAAGTCTCTTTGCTAACTCTCTTAATTCTAGTATATCCATTCTACATTTTTTGTACTATGTATTACAACGCAAAACTGTCATGATATGTATTCCAAAAGAAGAAGATAGTGTTACTTGTTACGGATTACAGTGCAGTTCTTTTGTTTTGTTATCTTTTTTTGAAGTTGGTGTTTGTTTCATATTATGGGAGTTTGTTTTGCTCTGCTGTTATTACTTAATAGTAGAAGTTAACAGATTGAAGTTTTTGGGCCACATGATGGAATCCTAGTTGGTAGTTTTAGATTAAGATAGTTTCTTCTTGAATGTACCATCCTTGTTTCTTTTCTTGGTGTTCTCCATTCAGTGTTCCTATTTCTGATAACGTTTTGCAGTTCCTTCAGTTTTTAGAACTTTCGATAGCTAAGGGTGATGAGGAAGAGTTTGGAAATAAAGGGGGGAGAAATTAATCGGAGGTGTATAAAACAGCTCATGATGCTGCAAACTTAATTGAAGAGGAGGATCTCATACATAAAGTTTAATTTTCATTTCCGTTATCTCAACTAGGTGTGTTATAGACATCATCTCCATGAGTCTTTTTGGCTGCTTAAATATTTGTGATCTGTTAAACATGAATAATGGAATTGGTATATACTCCTTAAATATTCTGATAACTTTGTACTAATTTGTAAAGCTGTTAGGCTTAGATAGGAAAACTAATCATTTTAATGATTCTGCTAGGGTCTTGACATGTCTACAACTACAACATCCTCAAATTTTAAAGCTTAGTGCTGAAAGTATGTTAGCATGTATTCTCAGACAATGATGCTATGAAGATAGTCCATATATTTGTTCCATATTTTTAATTGGTATGAACAAATTTTTTATTTTTGTTGAGATTTCAAAACGTTGGTTACACATGGTTGATTAAAACTCATTTAAACAATGTTTACATTTTAGTTATTCTTAGCTTTTCCTAATTTCAACAAATCACAAGTGATACCAATTTTCTGTATAACAACTTAGTCTCAATTATTTCTTCATGGTGCAAGCAGAAGAGGGGGAAAGGATGGAAGGAAGTCTGCATGGTACAGCTATCTTATACTAGTAGTATATATTGAAGTAAGTTTTTTTTTGTTAGGATATAGGTAGCTAGCTTTGAAACAATTTGGTCATTTGTACCATTACTCTTCATAAACAATTTGGTCATTTTGAAACGAGTTGATTGACTATTTGACTTGGAAGTAGGAAATAATAAAATATGTATGTATTCACACGCACCAACACAAGAGGTGGGAGGAAGCTTGTATAGTAACTACGCAGTTAATTAGCTAGTAATAGAATTGATGGGGAGAGACATATACTCCTCCACTTTAAGCACACAGTTATTTATCTTTCCGGTATGTTAAATTCAAAGTATAATGGAAATGTGCGTGTGTGGTTCTTATCTAAGGAAATGCAAATGATGGAAAATCATTTACATTTGAAAATAATTTCTGTTAAGCGGGTTCACTTCCAGCTCAGGTCTCAATCTTCATCCACAAAGGATGATAAACCACTAAGAATCTAAAGGGGAGAATTTGGGCATCAGCCTTCAACCAATTTCCGGCCAATCAGTCTAATTCCGGTGAAAACCACCAAGAAAAGAAAAGGGGGGCGAACTGTTTCAGGGTTAGGGTTCTCGCGGCCAGCACTATCACAGATGGGAAACAATGCATATATAGGCGAAGTACTGAAATCGGGTATGGAAACTTACCATATCAGCAGACATCGACATAAGGAAGGAAAGATTTCGCAGGTAAGCAAGGATGGCGTTGAGCGAACAATCAGAAAGAGAAGCCATGGGCCGGGTAGAATAAAATTAAACTTTTGGCTTAAGGAATATAAGTGGGCCAATACCAACAACATTCTCCACCTTATTGGACCCTAGTGGTGTAGAGTCAAAACTCTAAAACAATACATGAGACTCATCATCGCTGGATTGCCCGAATAATCACAAAGACATATTCAGGCAAAAGGGGTAAGATCACCAGGCAACTTATCCGCAATCAATGTTTAACGTGCGTTTGCACGACAGCAACTTTTCGACAGAGAGACATTTAGTCCCCATGTCAGCAGGATTAAATTCCGACGGGATTTTAATCAACTTGATATGACCTGCACTAACAATATCACGTATAAAATGAAATCTAACATCAATGTGCTTAGTTCTATCATGAAAAACAGGGTTTTTACACAATTGAATAGCAGATTGACTATCAGAAAACACACAAATGTCCTGCTTAAGACTACCAATCTCCGTTAGGAGACGTTTTAGCCAAATGGCTTCCTTAAATGCTTCGGTAGCGGCCACATACTCCGACTCAGTGGTGGATAGGGCAACTATGGGTTGAAGTTGAGATTTCCAACTAATGCACGACCCACAAAGAGTAAACACATAAGAGGTAGTGGATTTCCTATTGTCTCTATCATTAGCAAAATTAGAATCCACATACCCACTCAACTTAACCCCCTCAGAACACCTAGTGAAAACCAACCCATGATTAACAGAAGATTTCAAATACCTAAGCAACCACTTAAGAGCATTCCAATGATCTAAACCAGGATTAGACATATACCTACTCAAGCAACTAACAGCATAGGCAATGTCGGGTCTAGTACTCACCATGAGATACATCACGGACCCAATAGCATTGGAATAAGGCACAGATTTCATTTTAGCAATTTCAGGAGCAGTCTTAGGAGACTGATCCTTACTTAACACAAAGTGAGACGCCATCGGGATAGAAACGGGAGTAGCAGAATGCATGTTATATTTACTCAAAATCTTTTCAATATATGAAATCTGATTGAGAACTAACACACGCTTACTCCTATCCCTAACAATGTTAATGCCTAGGATCCTTTTGGCATCACCTAGGTCTTTCATAGCAAAGTTCTCACTGAGACGCTTTTGCACACATTTAATGGCGTCACCCGAAGGACTAACAATCAACATATCATCCACATATAGCAATAAAAATACAGGCACAGAGGAAGTATTTTTAAAGTATAGGCAATGGTCGCATTCGGACTTGTGAAATTTCAAAGATGACATGCACTGGTCAAATTTGATATTCCACTGCCTCGGGGACTGCTTCAGGCCGTACAAGGCCTTCCTAAGCAAACACACATGATCACTCTTCATGGGATCCACAAAGCCCTCAGGCTGCGACATATAGATTTTCTTATCTAAATCACCATGCAAGAATGCAGTGGTGACGTCCATTTGTTTCATTTCCCAATCATTATGAGCAACAAGAGCAAGCATCATACGAATCGTAGTAAATTTAACTACAGGAGCAAAGATTTCAGCATAATCAACACCTTCCTTTTGAGTAAATCCCTTAGCTACTAACCTAGCCTTATATCTAATGTTGTTAGGCTCTTCCTTAACCTTAAACAGCCACTTACAGGCAACAACGGAACTATTGGGCGGTCTAGGAACTAACGTCCAAGTCTTATTCGCTCTAAGTGATCGACTCCATCTCACTTTCCATGGCGCAAAGCCATTTAGCGGACTCATTAGACTTAAGGGCCTCTCTATAGGTTCTAGGTTCATTAAGCTCAAGGGTCTCAAACACAGAGAAAGCAAACATAGAAGTATCACACATATGGAAAGCATAATCAGGCATACTATCAGCAGTTCTCCTAATTACTCTCCTACTTCTATCTCTAGCAAGTTGATAATCATGCAAATCATTCTCACTAGCATCCGCACTCTCATCATGCGATTCATTGTCATTTGAATGCACATGAGAATGCTCCACCTCACTCGAAGTGGTGGTAGTATCATGCTCAGAAGACTCAGAATCATGCAATTCAGAAGAATTAGAATCATGCAAAACAACATTATCATGATTAGCAAACAAAGGGCTAGCAGCAGGTGGTATGGACTCCACCTCAACGGGTGTACTACTAGGATCAGACTCAGAATCAGGAACTGACTTAACCAGACAAGGAAACTCGGATTCATTGAAAACAACGTTTCTACTCACCACAACTTTGAAACCTACCTGGTTCCTATCCCAAACCCTGTACCCCTTCACACCCTCGGGATAACCTAGGAAGACTCCTTTCTTAGACCTAGGATCCAACTTGTCACCTTGTTGGTGCACATACGCTGCACACCCAAACACTCTAAGATTAGACAAATCAAGGGGTTTGTTTGAAAAAATAGATTCAGAGCACTTCCCACCCAAGGGAACAGAAGGAGACCGGTTAATCAAGTAGACAGCAGTGTTAACTGCTTCACCCCAAAACTTTTTAGACAAACCGGCGGTGGCAAGCATACTCCTAACCTTATCTAGAACAGTCCTATTCATCCTCTCGGCTATCCCATTTTGTTGGGGAGTATAGGGCACAGTTTTGTGCCTTCTAATCCCACAATCAACACACAGTTGGTCCATATCCTTATTGCAAAACTCTAGACCATTATCTGTCCTAAGGGCTTTGACCTTCTTACCAGTTTGATTTTCTACAAGGTTTTTCCACTCCCCAAACTTCACAAAGACATCGGACTTATGTTCAAGGAGACGGACCCACACCTTCCTAGAAAAATCATCAATGATGGACAGAAAATATCTCTTACCCCCGTGGGTAGAGACACTAGCAGGACCCCACACATCCGCATGAACATACTCTAACACAGAGGTACACTTAGTAGGATTAGGATATGGGGAGGAGGGGAATGTAACCTTATGCTGCTTGCCTAACACACAAGATTCACAGAAGGGGATGGGGGACACAGAATCCTTACCAAAACAACCAGATTTATGCAAAATCTCTAAACCCCTATTACTCATGTGTCCTAATCTATTATGCCACAAAGCAGATTTATCAGAACTAACAACATGAGCAGAATCACAGAAAGGCTGAGCATGGCACACATACAAGTTATTCACCTTTTTTGCCTTAAACAAAACAAGGGAATTTTTCAAAACTTTCATGCACCCATTACCCCATTTACCCTCTAACCCACTACCCTCAAAAGCAGCGACAGAAAACAAGTTATGACGCAAATCAGGAACATGCCTCACATTTTTCATAGTAAACACAGTCCCATTATCAAACTTCAAACATACATCACCCACCCCATGAATTTTGCATTTCTTATTATCAGCAAGAGACACAAAACCATCATTGCAAGAATAATAAGAAGAAAACAGGGATCTAAAAGGTGTCATATGATAAGTACAACCAGAGTCAATCAACCACTCATTTTCAGTCATGCTACTCAACACAGAATTGGCAGAATCACAAATCATAAAAACTTCTTCATGCAAGTTATTATCATCTACCACATTAGCATGTTCAGACTTCTTCGGATGGGGACAATCCTTAATGAAGTGACTAGAATTACCACAATTATAGCACACTCTCTTCTTAGACTTACCTCTCTTCTTCCCCGGGTCATTGTTTTTGTTCTTATCGTTGTTGCCCTTCTTATGGTTTCTAGATCTACTCTTAGACCTACCCCTCACAAACAACGCTTCACCAGAGTCCCTAGACTGACTGTTACTACCCCTCGAGTGTCTAAGGTCTAACTCCTTACTCCTTAATCCATTAACGACTACATCCAACGAGATATCATCTCTACCATACTTTATGGCAGATTTGACATCATTGTAAGAGTCAGGGATGGCATTAAGTAACACTATGGGTGTGTAGTCATCTATGTGTTTATCACCAGCTTGCTTAATATTCTGAATAAGCTTGTTAAACACATCTAGGTTCTCATCAATGTCCTTAGACAGGTCAAGCCTAAATCTAAAGAACT